TTTATCGCCCCGATGCTGCATCGTCGTGGTGGAGTAGGTGTGGGTGCTGTGGGTGGTAGACTGTATGCCGTGGGTGGACACAACGCCCCGCCCAACCAGCCGCATGCGATGCGCACCGCCAGTGTGGAAGTATACGAACCACGAACAGACATGTGGACTGAGGTGGCTTGTCTGTCCTCACCGAGAGATTCCATTGCTGTGACCACGTTGGGCATGAAACTGTACGCGATTGGCGGTCACGATGGTCACGTCTACACAGACCGTGTTCAAGTCTATGACCCGGAAACAAATCAGTGGTCCGATGTAAGTCGTTCTCCCCCGCAGCGATCAGTTAAGTGGATTTCCGTAAGTAAACTTGATGCCAGTTCGAGTACACATGATTTACACCACACACGTGGTATGACGTGAACTAATCTCTTTACACATCTCGCTTCATCGGTACTCGCGTCGTACAAGCGATTATCCACGCTGATTCGGAACAGTCGAATAATTGTGAAATGGGATCGCAAGCGTTTCTTGCCCAAACACCTTGTTAATATGATCCCATTTGCCGTAGGAGTGCTTGTAATCGAATTAACAATTTGTATTTGTATTCAGGCTGCAGCAATTTATACATAGCTTTTAGACAAAAAGAAACCATCGATATAGTACTGACAGAAAAGGATATAAAAAGTGGGGCAGAAAACGTACGATGACTGCCAAATGCACGAAAACGTTCAGAACGAACACTGTTTGTCATTCAGAGTCCGGGCCGGATAGGGTGCCAAGGAGTTTCTCTGGGCAGATATAGGAGATGGGATAAGCCTGTATTCGGAGGAGACGGAGGGATGTGATTTACATGCTCACAGGTCGGTGTGTAAAGAATGGATAACGAGGAGGGATAGGTTTGTGTTGTACACTGCCAATTTCAATTGATTAGATACGGCCATCGAAATAGTGATGTCATCAGCATACTTCAAATGCCGTACATGGGAGGTAACAGGTTAGTCACAATTAGATGTTGTGTTGATTGTTTTTTATGTGGCGTACAAATAATAGTCCCGATCGGTTGGCTTCCTGTGATCAGCAAGTGTCCATAGGCTTGTGAAATTTTTGAGCGAACTTTCCAATACATCTGAATTTTTGCAAAAGGCGACCGCGCATAATAAATAGCAATTATTTTCTGGCAGCTCCTCATATTTGTAACAAGAGGAAGCCCTATTTGTTATTACTATCTTGTCGAGTATTTTTTTTCTGGCAGCGTGCCCAATCGGAGTTTAAAACAGTGCACACACGCACACTGTTTAGCATTTTGTTTTATATGAACTGGTTTTTCTGATGACCATTGAAAAAGAACAACTACACCTTTTCGCATCAAGTTTTAGCCAAAACCGGCAGTCCTCTAGTCTCGACCCGTAATCCTTCAGCCTCCGTCTGTAATCCTTTAACCAAAACCCGAAATGCTTTAGCCAGAACCCAAAATCCTTTAACCTTGACCCACATTCTTTTAGCCAAAACCCGCAACTTTTTAGCCACGACCCGTAGCCCTCTATCCTCGACGCACAACCTTTAGTCATTGTTTTGCATTCACAAGGGAACTCTGTTCATGAGATTTGGATACCGTAACAGCGTGGATAATGAACATCGTTCACGAAAGACACTCCCTTTAGCACACCTTTTTCCATCAGTCGTTGGTTAAAGGAATGTGGGTCAAGGCTAAAGGATTGTGGGTTTTGGCTAAAGAATTACGGGTGGAGGCTACAGGAATGCGGATTTTGGCTAAAGCTTGATGTGAAAAGGTGTAGAAAGAATTTAACATGTGAAAAATAAACCCACTCATATGGAGTGAAACACCGTCACCCTCCCCTGAAACATAAAAATTTGCAGGAGCTAATCTAACATAATATTGCTCGGTATATGCTGCCCTTATTGATGTTATCTCTACCAAATCAGCTATTATTCACCTTTCAGATAGCCCCACTTCCTAGTGGTCGAGCTGGCGTCGCAGTGGCTTCTCGTTCTACTTGGCCCGTCGGAAATCAATCCCATNTATAAAGCAGATCCGTTGGCTTAGGCTTTATGCTAGGAAAGATTTGCCGGATCGGCGCTGTCCAATCTATACACCCATGTTTCCGCATTTCTTGGCGTGTGATTGAAAAACATGTGTACACATCACTCATTCACTATTCCATGAAACTGCACATGTGACGCCCTGACACACACAGGCACACACAGACTATTGCATGCAACCATGTGCTCAAGCACTATCGCTTGCTGTTTGCACCAAGCGAAACGACTCGTAAAATGATGTTTGTTTGGGTGTTTTTTGTTCTGTTTTCTCCCCATCTATTCACAAAAATGCTCGCAAACAGTTTGTCCACGAGCCTATACGAAACCGAAATTGGTTTCCTTTTCCCAGCGATTCTTTCATTTCCAATCTGTCTCTTCGAATGTACATGACTCGAGGATAATTGCAGCTCAATCGGAATTCTTTCTGTCATCCCATATCGTGCTGATGATATGAGCGTGACAATGTGTGTGTTTGCGTGCAAATGTATTCCTTATTCTCCTCCATCTTGGCATAGCCAATATACAACATGTGTATTATTGTATTATTTCCGCGGCTCGGTTGTAATGCTGCTGTACTTCGAACTTTATGACTTTCGATCCCCAATTAGGTTATTTCTGCTCTCAATATTATGTCTGGCGCTAATTTGAACACATCGATGGTCTCATAGGTGAAGCGAATACGGGTATAAAGACGAATTATCATATGTCGAATTCAAATTTCAAATTTATGGGAAAATTACAAAGCTGATACTTTTTGAATGCAATAGTATCTCACTGAAAATTCCCATTGTGACATTGACAGAAGAACACGAGTAGCGAAAAAGCTCGTTTTCGATAACTTCATCCTCTGGCTAATACAGTTATATACATTTAGTGAATAAACGTGCAACAAATAATGTCAGAACGAAAATGCGTTGATTGGACGGCAAAGAAGTGGTGAGAAGTGGTTGGGAAAGAGGTGAAAACCAAAAACCAAAACCACAAAACCAAAAAGTTGTTGATCCGTGGTTTTAGAATGGGGAAACAGGAAGGGAGAGGTCACACGTTCAAAATTATCTACAAGGTACCTCCAAACCCCTCGGACAGCGCCATATTGCGACAGCAGAGGCGGTAGCAATAAGGTTATTGCGACCAACTCTATGCTCACAAAAACAATTCGTCAAAACCCTACAGTTACCCTGGCCCAGACCCGATACTCAACGTCAATTAACCCATGACCCTTTGACCTAAGTGTGTGACCTCTCCCTTCCTGTTTCATCCCTCTTCCCCCTCCCTCTTCTTTCTCTGTTTTCACGATTCCCCATTCTAAAACCACGGGTCAACAACTTTTNTTGGTTTTTGGTTTTCACCTCTTTCCCAACCACTTCTCACCACTTCTTTGCCGTCCAATCAACGCATTTTCGTTCTGACATTATTTGTTGCACGTTTATTCACTAAATGTATATAACTGTATTAGCCAGAGGATGAAGTTATTGAAAACGAGCTTGTTCGCAATAGTATCTGTACACACTGGGTTCGTTAATAGCAAATTATAACGTTCGCTCACGGGTACCGAAGCGAACGTTTAAACCGATGTCCTCGGAGGTGATCATTCCTGGATAGTGGTATAGATAGTGGTTCGATTGGTGTAGTATTTGATGTACGAGGATCATTGTTCACATTGTTGTTACTATTGTAAACCTCAGAGACACTGCTCAGCTGCTAAATCCTCGTTAGCAACGATCAACAGTGCCTTTTTACTGGATCCAGCAGCTAAGATGACCAGTTTAGCAGACTTGCCGATCGCTTTTGCTCTTTGATTTTTTCTCCACACATCATTACTACGCGAAACAAAGCTGGAACGGTACTGTTCGCACCAGGAACGGATTTTATTTGGCACTCATCGATTTCCTGATGCTCGAATATTAAGTACGGTCCTACGATCTGTACTAACTTTGTGTGGAATTTTTCAAGTGGAGCGGTTCGAGGAACATTTCCGCTGCATAAATTATGTATTTCTAACACAACATCAATGTATCCTTCGTTCCGCTGAATTGTTGAAACAGTATATAAAGAGATTTGCAGAAATTCCATATATGTCATTTGCAAACAATTGCAATACCTCGGGACGACAATGCAACTGTTTCATCCCGCCTTTGTAAAACCGTTAGCACTCTACTTTGTTTTTCAGTAATATATTGAACTTAAATTGCATGATTATGAGTTGAAACAGTAATATTCACTTAAATCATGTGGAAATTGGTGACAGAAAAATAATATCATCCGAACAATGTCAGTTAGGGACAATCAAAAGTCGTGGAAGCTCCAGTAGTTTAGTGAACACACAATTTACAACGTCCGGATCCGATTTAATATAAGCTCGACGGGTAGGAAAAGTTAATGATTTGGGAAGGGAATAAAATGGGCTCTACAGGTCCTCCACAAGGTAGCTCAGCGCTGCAGTGGATGAACAACTTTTAAATAATTTTGTCTTCAGATAACCATTCGTTAGAATGCTTACAAGCATCCTTGGTTTAGTTCATTCGAATTCACAAACATCAGGATTTGTCTACCAACGCTAGTGTATGAGTCTCATTCTCTCAGGATAATTCCTCAGTTCTCCATTTATTTTCAGTAATATTGTGTAATGGCCAAAGATGCGCACCGGATAGTCATTTTGTTCTTTTGGGGACTCGTCAGCACTGTAAACTATTTAATTCTTTTCACCTCCTTGTCGGGACTCGAAACGAGAGCGGTATCGTTGAGAGCTCAAACCTTGATTTGTGAACTACTCAAACGACCAATGATCGAACTGTTGGGCGTCTTGTCAAATTAATCAATTAATCATATACGTGTTCTCCCTTGAACCCGTACTAATTTACCGACATTGGGGCGGAGTATGGATTGAATTCATTATCCCTTAGACTTAATCTCCACGTGAAAACTTCATCCACTCAACCATACTCTCCGTAACGAACTCGGATTTGCTTCTGTCAACGGTAAATGTTTCCGAATAATTTCGAAGCATTTGTGTTATCGTACACCACCCGGCTCATAACAGTGTATTTTAGGGTTAATTAATTGAGAGAAGTCAAATACTACGAGATGTTAACATTTCTTTAAATCTCTTGATTGTGTCAGAAACGTTTGTGTACACAAAATTGGATTACACAACTTGACTAACATCGCTTCTCTGAAGGCTATGAGCTCTGGATCCATGTTACTTAACAACGGCTTGGACGAGAAAAGTAGGTCAACGATGCCTCAAGTTTTCATGCGATGTGTTGCCATTGATGACACTGGATTTCACGTACCAAACTGAGATTTTGTTGCGACATGAATCGTACTTTGGGACTGTGTCCGGATAACCGTTAAGACACGGGCCGATTCGTTCTGCCGATGTAGGTGTCATCGCAACTACAGGTGAACCCATAGATAACGCATGAAACATAATTGGGTGGCTAGCTCTGTTTTTCTTTTTCCAGACAAATTCTACGGGTGTACGTTATCAGTCAAAACTGTAGGACAGAAAATGTTCGACGCGAGGCGTCCTTGAGCGTCTGTTGTGTTGGTTTTGATTCCTCCTATTCTGACTGTTGTCTGTTTCACCACTGCATAACCATCTGTATAAATACCAGATTGTTTTACACCGTGGTGACTGGGGAGATTAAAAGAAATGTTAACATCTCGCAGTATTTGTCTTCTTCTCTCTGTTGTAACGAATTGGGAAAAGGGAATGCAATGTTCCAAGTTTTCAATTAACTGGTTTGAATGACCGTTCTTCAAATTTAAACATCATGAAAGATTCTCAAAGGAATATCAAAAGCCAAACAATATACCGAACGAACTTGTTTTCTTAACTTCGTCTTCAGGCCTTAACAGTTATGTGTGTTTTTATCTAATGTAGAAAATAATGTGATTGGTCCATTTAGGTTTAGTATGAAAATACAACCACGTCTGTCAAGTTTTATTCATAGCGAGTGGATAAAATGGATAAAGTGGGCGAATGAGGGACTAAGGTTACTTCTGGAATTTTCCGAGGACCTTTTTCAAGTGCAGTTTGTCATGCCGTGTTAAGTCATCAAGACATGATTGAAGTTGGGGTCGGTTCGGGTCATCACATAGGTTTGGTTGGGGCTAAGGCAACTGGAGTGCAGCAACGAACCTCTTCTGTTTGCACAATAGTGGGTCTTTAATTTTGATTGCTACAGCTTTGGCCGTTGCCAAGTGACGTTTTCGAACGTGTTTCGATTTGTTTTGGGGTATTTTGTTCATCCCGTTATCTGGACTAAACGTGGTATCAAGGGCAGACGATCAGTTTGTTCCAGGTCTGACAACAAAAGACGTAGGCACAATGAGGTTAACTCCGCATACATCGAGTCCATAGCGCGGACTACGAGTGCATGTGAAAATCAGCTACGGAAAATGATACTTTGCTCCACATTGCTACTCACAAGTAGCCGTAAATCACAACACGCATTTTCTGGTCATTTCTTCCATTTGTTCAAAAAAATATCCAGGTTTAGGGAAGAGACAAGTTTTAGCAACACCAGTCTGAAAATTCGGTAAGTAGTGATGATATTTTAACTGATAAATTTTGTATATATTTTATTATTATTTCCTGACTTAACGGCTGCAACAACCCTGAGCCAGTAAAATATCGTATCCCGTGGGTGCCTATGGTTAACGTATTTGATGCTTCGCCTACACAAATCGCATTTGCAGCTCCAAGCATAAAAGGAGACACGCATCGGAGCTCACAATCATGTAAAAGCTTTGGCTAAATGATTGCCGGTTGAGGCGAAAGGACTGCGGGTTTTGGCTAAAATTTGATGGGAATAGGTATTATTATAACAGTACATCGCGAAAGGAGTCTTATGAATCTGAAATTAATATGAAATCTTTTTCTTTCACATCGGAAAAGACACAGGGGAACAGTACGGCCAATGAGGAAGTATGCATGCTGCCACAAATTTAAAAACTAAATATGGGGAAACAGCAAGCTTCTTAAGCCTAAACGCATAAAGAGAAAGTTTACGAATCTTATTGTAAACATTCTCTACATGGCTAGTTCAGGAGAGGTTGTGGGATAGAAAGACTCCGAGGCATTTAATAGATTCAGCTTTGGGAAGTCTGTAACGATTGGCGATGAGCTGAGGTAAATCATTAAATTTAGCTTGAATAGGGGAACCGGATTTAAGGTTGAAGGGAACATGAAAATAGTTAGAAGGATTAAGCATAAGAGATCGGAGCAGAGATCAACTAAAAACGTTTTTCATACTATCTTGAAGTTGGTGGAGGCATACATCATTAGTGGAGGGTAACCCAATCACCAAATCATCAGTATGATTACAGGCAATAATGTAGATAGGGACATTTATGTTGTTTACTTAAAGGTTGAAATTGAATGGGGGAAAAAATGAAAGACACGAGAGTTAACGTTAAAAGAGGACGAAGATTTACCATTTCATGAGCTAAATTGAGTCCTGAAAAAGAATCATCGCAATGATTGTTCGATGCTTGTTAGTCTCAAATCACCTCAAAGAGCTCTAAATTAGATGTGTGTTTCCTAGTTTACAAAAGCGTTTACCACGTCGGATCCTAAACCGAAGTCAGAAAGAACGCGACGATCAAGCAAACCAAAGGCGTTGTTGTAAACAAAGAAAACAAGGCAATCTGTTCCAGCACGCCTATCCAATACTGAAACCACAGAATGAACATCATAAGCGACGGCGTCAACTTTCGAAAGTTAATGCTTGTAAGCAAACTGAAGAGAATCAAGTACATCATAGAGGGTTGTCATCAAGGTTCAACAGCACTCTCTCGGAAACTTTCAGCAGAACTGAGGTACAAGCAATCGGCCGATACTGTGAAGAGCCCCTCTTTGGGAGTCTCTCTGGAGTCTCACCCGGGTAGACCTCCAGTAGCCCGTGATTGTCCAGGAGGACATACACAAATTAAACAACTCTGCAACGGGTATTGCTGTTAGGTAAAAAGACTATTTTTACCTAAAACTGACTATTTTTCAAGTGTCTGCAAT